CTAGTACTGACATTGACCTTTGTGTTTGTCTAGATTTTTGTAGTTCCTCGTTGTTGAAGGCATTGTTTATATTATCCTTGGTCTATGCCATCGCTTGGTGTGAGTTGTCTTCCCAGCTCTCTCTGATGTCTTATGCTCCTTTTGGGGAGGCAGGCTGTGTAGTGCCAAGAAAAGAGACCTAGCCCTGGTGTCAGAGGGCTGTGGTTCAGATCTTAGCTCTGTTGCTTCAAACCTTCACCTGATCTAGCCTCATTCCTATGTTAAATGAGTGAGTGAGTTAGATGTTCATTTGATCACTGAAAGTTTGTTTTTGTAACGGAGACATACTCAGATTGCTATGAAACCATTATGCCACTGTCTCTACTATTATTTGACCAAAAGCAAGAAATACTGGGCTATGGCAAGAAAACTAAAAACCCAAAAGAAATTAAGAAAATAAGCACAGGCAGAATTAACTCTTACTTACAGATGTGACAGTTTACCTAGAAAATGCCAAAGAGTTGAGGAACACTTTAATCTAGACGAAGTCTTCAGTAAGTATCAGGATACAAAATAAATCCACAGAATCCAACCAAACATTGCTTAGGTTAAAGAAATAGGAAGAGAAATTCTGTTTGAGATAACAAACTATTTTAAATGTCTGGTAGTTATCCTACCAAAATGCAGCTCTTACGTAGTGTCAGAATTTTCATAGAAAGTTGAAACAAAGACCAAAGTTAAAATATCAAGAGATGTAAATGCAGAGATTGGTGGTGGAATTGTTTGTCTGAAGATCCTTGACTTGAAGATGGAAGCAAGGGATGTTCAGAGGTTGTTGGTGTTTAGTCCAACTCCTGCATTTTATAGACAAGGAAGTTGAGATCCAGAGAGGTGACCTGATTTGCCCATGATCACACAATAATAAATATTGGTGATAGGATGTGAACCCATGTCCTAGAAGGTAGCATTTGACACTTTTCATTACCCAATGCTGGAGGAAGCTTGGCATTGCCAGATCCCAAGCCGTTTTACAAAATTATCTGGTATTGGAGTGGTTGTGAAAAATTGTTGATGGAATAGACGAGATAAGTAAGATCTAGAAATAAATCAGTGTCTTAGCAGCTTACAAAATATGGCAATAGCTGACTCAATAGCTTAAATAATTAAAAAGTCCCACCATAAGAAAAGTAGAGGGTATTGGAAGGTTATTTATTTCCCAGCTATTTAACGGGAAATAATCATAACCAGATGTGGGATAGAAAAGTCTTAAAAGGTGAAATTGACTTTGGATTATATGAAATTCAAAAGCTTTGGACAGATAAAATCAGTGGAGCTAGAATTAAAAGAAAAGATCTCTGATGAGAGTCTGACATCCATCTTCTCTTGGATTAACACAAACCTAATAAATTAAGAAATATTTTCTGTTATTTAGGTGTCAAAAGGCAAAAACGGAGTTTTGAAAATTATTTTTAAAATATTTTTCCAGTAGCAAAAGTAGTTAAGCACAAAACTGTAAGTAACAGGAGTAAAGCAACTAAAATAATTCACTTGAAAAACACAAAATAGCTATAGTGTCTGACACCACCTAAGCGGGTGGGTGGGAAAGAAACTTTTCAGAGTTGGGAAATCTGTCACTTAGCACATGGGCAGATGGGGTCAGAAAAGGAACAGCCAGTCCCTCTTCTCCTTTTCCCTGTACAAAAACTCTTGTAGCTGCTTTGGGCTTCTCTGCACTTTGTGTGGCTTCCCCTGGGTTGGATCTTTTGAGGACAGATGAAGTGCCCTTTGTCTCTTGTTAGCACATGGATTCCCTGCCAGCACACTGCTCTGGTCTGTCTCTTCAGCTTATGGCTGTTCAGAAGCACTGTAGGACATCCCCTTCTGGATTTCCCATCATTTTTGTCTTCCATCTCAAGGGACTTCTCTTCTCCAGCTCTTGGTTCCTAGACAGACTTGTTAAAAAAAAATGTATATTTTTATTGGTACTTCTTGTTTTTTATATCATCTTCGTTTTCCCCCTGTCCCTAGAGCCACCATTGGTAATAAAACATAAAGGGAGAAGCAATGAATGGAGAGCTTTAAGAGGAAGAAGTTGAAGGTGCCAGCCAGTGTGTCTGGGACAGACTGCCCTGGCACGTGGACTGGGCATACCATCGATGCAGGAGAGAGAGAGAGAATGGGCGCTGTGGCATCTGGGAAGTTGTGCAGGGCTTTGAATGGCACTGAGCTTCTCCTTGCAAGAAAGGGCAGACTTTTTTAACTGAGGTGCTCTCTGAGTGTGAGGCTATGGGTGCAGGCTTCCAAGAACTAAAGCTGTGAGCTACTCAAAGATCAATGACCAGATGACCAATGAGGAAATAAGTTTCAGTACGACGCCAGTGAAGTCTTGTGTGTGCCAAAGGTAACCTGAAGGATGTTGTCGAGAATGTGTGTGACTGGAAGGGGGAGTATGGCAGATCTCATATTGAGAGCAGCAGAAAAACCAGTGATCAGCCCCCATGGATACATTGGTATCCATGCGATGTCAAGAGAGCTAGGGGAAAACATTTGTCATGCTGGGTAGATCCCCTGGGGAGGATTTATGAGAGGTTAAGAAGGATGATGAGAAAACGTGGATGCATTCCAGTCTGCATCACTGGAAGGCATGTCCACATCAGTGCATCATCATCATCATTGTCACAGCTAACATTTATATAGTGCTAATGACGTGCCAGGCACTATGCAAAGTGCTTTATAGATATCTCATTTAACCCTCACAACAACCCTGGGAGGCAGGTGCTACAATTATTCCCATTTTACAGATGAGGAAACTGAGGCAGACAGAGGTGAATTCATTTGCTCAGGGTCACACAGCTAGTAAGTGTTTGAGGTTGGATTTGAACACAGGTGTTTTTTTTTTTTGGTTTGTTTTTTGACACCAGGCCCAGTACTCTATCCACCACCAACATAGCTGCTTATGTGCCTCAATGAGATAATAGAGCCGCCTTTGTGGCTTTGTATACCTCATTAATGTCTTGGTGTCCCCAGCACTTAGCATAATGCCTGGCACACATATGTTTCATAAATACTTCTTAATTGATTAATAAAAAAGTACATAGTTTTATTGCAAGAAAATTATTTTCTCCTTGGCACATAGGTATTTTATTTTTATGTCAATCACATGTGAGACCTCTAACTTTCCAGTAGATATGTCAGGGAATACACATTTCAGATGTTGTCTGGGGCACACAAATTCTGTGTGCCAACTGTGGCCCCAGGCTCTGAGACTGAACCACCCAAATCCCTCTTTTATACATCTCTCCATCACATCAGGCTGTTTAGCAGGGGCTAGCTGAGTGCAATTTTGTTTTCTTGGGACCTCCTTGTAATGGCCAAGACAGATGTTAGTAAGCACTTTGTAAACTGTAAAGCTAGACGGAGCTGTTAACCATTCTGTAGTATATTTATCCAGCACCTGATTAAGGCCCTAATAACCACGTTTAAGCCACTGCGCTGGGCTCAGCACTCATAGCATATGGGGGACGGTAATACTGAATAATCCTTTCTTAGCTGTAGAATCTTGATGTAGCAGCTGTCTGAAGTACATGTTTCGTGATTTATTTACTTGTAAACATTTTACGAATATGAAGCTACTTTCACAAATCACATGTATTTCCATCACTTAGTATGGTGCCTGGCACATAGAAAGCACTTAATAAATGCTTGTTGACTGGCTGACTGATTAATATGTTAGGATCTGATTTTATTGGTGTGGTTATTCTCTCTACAGACACAGATTGTTATTATTAGCCTTCTAGAGTTGATGTAGGTGAAATCATGAGTAGCTTGTAGCTAACTCAGTGATACATTTCTCTGAATTGAGTTAGGCTGGTCTTTCCTGGATATTTCTAAAGTACTTTCAGCCTAGTTGCATCTGCTTGCCCACCACTGGCATCACGTTTGAGAACCCAACACATTGATTGACACAACATGGTGTTTCATAATCAGTCATATTATCATGCAAACCTAATATTTTGGTGGAACTATAGTCTTTAAATAAAAAAAGAAGGTGCCTGGATTTCAGTATGCCTTGTGAAAAATCTCAATATATCCATATGGACAAAGATTGAGAGATATAGGCTGGAAAATAACATAGTATGCTTGGTTCAGAACTGTTGGAATAGTTGGATTCAGAGTGTTGATTAATTGATGTCAACTTTGGTGGTAGGGAAAGGGTGCTAGGGGGAGTACCCCACAGCTCTGTCTGTGGCCTTCTGAAGAGAGAGATGGCCTGTTCATGTGGTAGCTGGCAGAATCAGGTTGCCTTAAGATCTTGACAGATTATCAGCCTGTGTGTTTTTTTTTTTCACGTTATCTTTTTGAGTGGGTTTTTTTTTTAATTGGGATCAGATTTTACAAACCCCTCCATTGATGTGCTTGGTAACTTAGGGTTTTAGGAAGCTGCCTTGGGGCACTGAGCAGTAACATAACTTGCTTGTGGAGTCAGCGTAACTGGCACATGTAACATTTGTAACCTGTGTCTTCCTGACTCCCAAGTCAGCCCTGTCTGTACTCTAAAGGAAATTTAGTAAGAGTTAAATGTAAATTCCTATACTCTGATTTTTTTGAAAGTATGTAAGGATGGAAATGTTGCTAAACCATTCATGCGAATTGCAAATTTAACGAGTCAATGGTGTGATGTTAGCCAAGAAAGTTAACTGTTAGACTGTAAAAAGTATTGTCTCCAGGTTGAGGGAGCCAACATTCTGCCCTGCTTAGAATCAGTTTGGAGGAGGAGGATCTTGATAAGCTGAGTGAGGGGCATCCAGAAGGGAGGGATCAGGGTAGCGAGAAGACGCCAAACCAGTAACAAATGAGGATCAGTTTTAGGAACTAGCTATGAGAGAGAGAGAGTTTTGTGTGTAAGGCCAGCAGCTAGCACGGGACTTGACATATGGGTGCTTACTAACTGTTTGTGGATTGATTGCAGTGACTGTACACTTACACAAGTAACACTGTTAATTCTTTTCCTCTTTTCTTAGGTGCATTTTATTTGGTGTTTGAATACATGGACCATGACCTGATGGGACTCCTGGAATCAGGCTTGGTTCATTTTAATGAAAATCACATAAAGTCATTCATGAGACAGCTGATGGAGGGTTTGGATTATTGCCATAAGAAGAACTTTTTACATAGAGATATTAAGTGTTCAAATATTCTACTAAACAATAGGTATGACTGAATTTTTTAGCTATATATTTGTGTGTGTACATTTTTAGGGGGAAAATATGTTTTTAAAGTGCCCAATAAGACAGCACATTCACTATTGTTGTACATGATATTAGTTTGATTATAGTTTCAGAGTAGGATTTTATGCCTGATCACAGATAGTAGCTGAAAGCGTTGACTGAATCTGATCAGAATTGAAATTAAAACATGTACACTTAAACACTTAATTCCTTGCTTTTGAAAATTAATAAATGAAGACAGAATAGCTAAGTCAGCTAGTGATTTGTCTTGTTGCCCAATATGCCGAGTACCCTGTCCTGCCGTGCTTTTTCAAGATCTGTTTCCATTTGACTAGTGACAGTACTGCTGTTTGGAAAAGCACGCACTTGCTACTTTTCATTTGGATGGCTGTTTGCAAAATGAAATGGAAGCAGCTACTTGACCTTAGTGGCCTTGGTCTCCATTGGCCTCATACAGACTCAGCTCGTGGAGGGAGGCAGCTGTGCTGAACCTTCTGACTTCCTCCTTGGCCAGGCCTGGAACTGTCTTGCTGCCTTGGGGCTCAATGTGAGAGGCTGATGAATTCCAAGGAGTGGCTTTTGTTCTTGGACCACCAGGAGCTTGAGTCATTCTCAGACGACCAGCTCAGGGGCACTTGTTGGCAACAGTGGTCCCAGGGAGTTTCCTAAATCCCGAAGATGGGCCGGGGCTGAGAATGGAATCCTTGTGACAGTTTGCTGAAAATCAGGGCGGTGTGCCCAAGTTGGCTTAGATTCAAACCTCGGTGTCAGGATCATCTTCTTGAGATCCCAGAGCTCTGTGTGACCATCTTACCCACCTCAGCAAGGCCATTTGTGACTAGTGTATAGCTCCCTGGCCTGTGCCTGTTTTATATATAGGGACACTCGATATGTTTTTTTTTTCCAACTTCTCACTTATAGTCCTCCTTCCTGGGTTGGGGTTCTTTACGTGTAGCTACTTGGTCATTATAAGTAAATGAAATAATGGGATTTACTTGAATTTTATGAAAGGCTTGTGAAAATATTTGCTTAGATGAAAAATATTGTCTTAAAATTACTAGTAATTGAATTTATCTTAGTACTGAATCTAAGTTGTGTCATAGTTACTAACTTTGGAAACATCACTGGGCGTTTTTAGTGTGTGTTAGCATTCATGCTAACACCTGAACAGATGGTCTCTCTGTCATGATCAACACTGGGAGGACGGATGACACTCATGGGAAGTAGAGAGTAATGAGAGAATGGGTGTAGTCAGTACTTGGGCTTACACAGAACATCAGGTTTCTTCATTTTGGGGTTGGGAAGAAAACCCTAGATGTGATGTTTCCTGGTTAATTTGCTTGATACTCCAAGTAGTTTTCACAAATTTGTTTTTGATCATATTTCCCTGTAGCAATAATTGATAATGATTTGATTTGAATGGACAGCTCACAGCCAGGTTGATCATAATGAGATTTCCTTATTTTTCCTCTTCTTTCTCCTAGAGGGCAGATAAAGCTAGCCGACTTTGGACTTGCTCGATTATATAGCTCAGAAGAAAGGTAAGATACTACAAATATTGTGAACTTAGTGGCCCCATTCTAAAAGTCCTCCTGTCAAGTATGTAATCTGTTCCTGAGGAGCATGACATGACTTTTCCTGCCTAAGCTTGTGAAGGGTAGCTTAGGTCATCAGGTGGGCTTGTCATGTATAATGAATGACTCCTGGTAGCATGATTAGCTTCGTTACCAAATCTCTGTAGGATCCAGTAAAATCTCATTGCTTTGAATTTTATAAAGACTTGGTGCTTCCGAAAGTTTGGAAACCATCTGTTCAAGTCAGTATAACTGTAACAGGATGCTATATATAGGATGTCAAAATAAAGTTGACTTTCTACAAATGAAAAAATTTTAAGTTTATATTTATTACCTGCACACATTATCTGAATGATGTTTAAATGAATGTAGGTAACATTTATTGGTTGATGTGCTGTTGGTGCTTGTATTACTGCAATGAGAGTTGAATGTGTTCACTTGCCTGAAGTGTGGGTTCCATTATTGGTTTCCAATTTTGTGTCTGGCTTACTTTTCATATGGACATGTTGAGGATTATATTTGGCCCTTGACTCCAAATCTGTGGAGGGAGGGTTTGCTTGTTAGTTTACAGCTCTTGTTAGTAGACAGCTCTAAACACAGAAGATCTGGGACAGGCTGTGGTTGGGGGCCACCACCTCCACACCCCCCCCCATTAGTTAAATGCTGAGGATATTTGATAAGATAGGGTGTTTTATTTGTGAGATTTTAAATCAAATGAGTTTTCCTTTTGACAGCTGCTCCAAATAAAAAGTGATTCAACACAATTTATTCATTAATTTATTCTCAGAAATGACATGGTTTGCAAAATAAAACTTTGGAAGGTATATAAGGGGAATGAATAACAGGTTTTTTTGTGTAAGCAAATGAGAAACTCTTAGCCATGGAATAAATGCTTCTTGGATTGAATTTAATCACAGAGCTTGAAGGGGACCTGTTGGAGCCGTTAAATACAACCCCTCATTTAAAGACTCTAAGCTAGTTCGGATTTGATTTTAACATCTTTTTATTTTCTTTTTTTGGGGAGGGGGGAGGGCAGTTGGGGTTAAGTGACTTGCCCAGGGTCACATAGTAAGTGTCAAGTGTTTGGTCACTCAGGCACTCCTGACTTCAGGGCCGGTGCTCTATCTGCTGTGCCACCTAGCTGCCCAAAAAATAGGTTTCTCAGGAGGATTCATGGAGGGGCTGTCACTCAAGGGGGCCTCGGAGGCCTCTGAGTCTGACCTGCTTGTTGTTCATATGCAAACACTGAAGTCTAAGGTACTTGCCCAGGTAGGTGTCGGGGAGGCATCTGAAGCTTGAGCCTCGGTTTTCAGGGTCATGTTTGTTGTTAATTGAAATTACTGTAAGAATATTATGTTTTCTCAATATTAAGCTGTATATTTCTTGCTTGAATGGAATATCCCCTTCCTCTTATGTTCGGGTAGAGATGCAAGTCAATTGAATTAATTACAGTTTTCCATTTAACAGTCTCTACCTATTCATTGGTCTAGTTAGAAAAATATATTCCAACAGTTAGAGGTAGAGCAACACTGTATGTCCAGTTTTTTTCCTTTTTCAATTTAAAATGGGAGATACCTTGGGCATGAAAAGCTGGAGGTTATAGAGACACGAAAGCCTGAACTGGAGAGTTGTAAGATGGGAGATAAGAGTTATGCTTCTCCTAACTAATCTCCAGGTGAGTAGGCAAGTCTTCTCTGAGATTAAGCATACCTTTGTCCAGCACTTACTCTGAGGGAGGCCCTGGGCTGGGTGCTGAAGAGACAAAGATGCCCTCAAAAGAAGACAGCCCCAGCACTGGAGGGGCTCATCTGTGGTGGTGGGAACCTCACAGAAATAATACCACAAGTGAAAAGATTCTTAATATGGAAGGGGGAGGGGGAAGACAGAACCGAACCTGGGTGAGCTGGCAAGAGCTAGTGGACTCTGGGAGTCATGGAGGAAGTGTTGCCTGAGCTGGGCTTTAAAGGTGGGTAGGGGTGAGGGTGCCGCCAATGCCACAGATGTAGAAAGCTGTGTGAAGGGGCAAGGAAATTATTATTAGTATATCAGGAAAATAACATTGGAAGAGAAAGTGGTAGGAAAAATGCTGCAAAGGGGTGGGGTTGGAGCTAAATTGTGATCCTTGGAATGGCAGGTTGGGGGCATTCTCAGTTTCTCGGGAGGTAATACAGAATTATTGAAGATTTTCAAACAGATCGGGGACATGAGGACATTGGTGCATTAGGAAATTCATGCTGCTTCTTAATCTCCACCCCCCCCCTTCCCCAGTAGTTTTTACAGAGTATCTTGTAAGCCATTAAACACTCTGTAGATGTGAGCCTGTTGGTGAAAGAGTCCTGTAGTGTCTCACACTGAATTGTCTTCTGTAGTCTAATATGGGATCACTGATTTTAGGGGAGCAAAAACTTTAACTCCAGAATGTTGTGTATTTAGGTAACATAATGACTTTCTTTTTTGTTTGATCATTTCTAGAATACAGAAACGTTATGTATTCATTTTCCACATGACAGTACCTATCTTTAAGGATCAGAATAATTCTTCGACATTCCCTTTTATGGACTAAATTTATGCCAGTTTTTATAATGATTTATTTGTGAAAGGAAAAAATTATACATTTCCTTTAAAATATAACTATCCTTCAGGAATCCTTTATCACCACCTTGATTTTAAAAATAATATGGCTTCAATCATCTGGAAAATTTCCCAGTGTAACTATGAATTATGTACTTTTCCCCCCTTTGTGGTGAGGCAGTCAGGGTTAAGTGACTTGCTCAGGGTCACACAGCTACTAAGTGTCAAGTGTCTGAGGCCGGATTTGAACTCAGGTCCTCCCGACTCCAAGGCTGGAGCTCTGTCCATTGGGCCCTGTGAAGTATGTACTTTTATTTATAGAATTCTCTACTGATGTTAAATTACAACCTCATTTGTTTCTTCAATTTTCAGTGGAAAATTAATGAATGGAAATGAAAGAGGACCATTTTCTGGTTGTATTAGCTTTCTCCCCCACTCTCCCCCAAGATATTTTCAGGTCTGTTTTATTTCTATCTCATGTACTAAAAGGCAGAAAGCTTCCACCAGGCATGGGAAGAGATGCTGTTGACAGTTTGAAAAATATGAGGGCAGTGAATCTTTTCCCTGTTTTCTCTTATTACAAAACATGAGAAATAGAGAAATCTTGGAGTCCTTTTTGACTTTTCCATAATGCTCTGTGGTTGACAGGAATCTATGAATATAGATTGGAGTTAAATAAGAGTTTAATAATAGGCACATACCATTTGATGACTCAAAACGAACTAAGAAGACTAAATGAATAAGAAATGACATTAATCTCTTAAGTCTCTAATCTCTAGTTCATCCTAGAGAATAGAATAAAGTATCCCTCACAAGACTGGAAGAGGTTCTTCAAAGGGAGCCCAGTGAGGACAGAACAGGGAGAGGCAGAAGGCATTTGAAGCTTCTCTCAGGAAGTTCCAAGGGAGAAGAAGGTGAAGGAGCCAGAAAAATGAAAGAACTGCTGAGTCTGGAGAGGTGCTTGGAAGTCCTGTGCCTGAGATGTCCCCAGGACTGCCGGGGACACTGCTGGGGACAGCTTGGTCAGGGGAAGGGTGAAGTAAGGGGGAAAAGCTTGCCTGGCATCATGGCGGACGGCCACAGTGGATCCTGCTGGACCAGCATTTGTGCTGCCAAGACCTGTCAAGCCTGATGGACTCGGTGATAAGTTGAGAGTCGATGTTGCTGCCTGGCAGAACCTCTGAAATGATCTCTGGATTGTGATGTTCTGGATGAAAAATTCAAATGCTTCAGGGCACAGATGGGTCTCAGATCATGGCTGTCGAAGAAGGTTTTTAGAAAACAGTATTTGGTTAAGAAGGTGGTTTGGGGAGACACAGATGATGATCTAAGACATGAAATAATGTACCTGCCCAGGGAGATTGTAGCTAAAGAAGACTTTCAGATAAACAAATAAAAACATGTTTGCATGGAGATTGGAAGATCTGATTAAAAGGATTTAACTGGAAATGGAGGAGGAATAAAAACATTCCACGTCTCTTCAAAGGCAGATGTCATAGAGAAAGGCAGGTATGTCATGGAGGGGAAAACTATTGGTGGAGAGGTCCCAGTGATTCAAGACAGGGCGTTAATGATGACTTCCGTTGTCTGTGTATATCAGGCAGAATGTGGAAGAGAACCTGCAGCGTTTGGGGAAAGGTGATGCATTCTTCCTCTTCATCATCACTATGGGTCATGACTAAAAGACGGAAATGAACAAGTATGTTCTACTCAAAAGAGGCAGATTAGGTAAAGTTGTATTGCATCATAAGAAGATGATGTGTTATTGAGAAAATTTGTGAATGGCATGAAGTGGGGGCATAGTATTATGAGGAGACTATTTTGGTGATGATCAGGGGAGGAAGAAATAAAGGATTTTAGTGTAGGAATACAGTGTAGATCACATTGGCCTGGAGGAACACCATGGTCCTTTTGTGATGGAGGCTTGGACTGACTGGATATATCCTCTGGAGCCTTTCTCTCTGCCACAACCAGAGCATTTGGTAACTTTCTTGTATTGATGACAGCTTTATTCTACTGGTCCTGAAATGGTAGGAACCTTGAGAGCAAGCAGCCACTCCATCCTAGGGCTCAGAGTCTGAGCCCTCTCAGTTGTGAGAGAGCAGGTTTCCAGGGGTTCAGAGAACAGGGAGTGGAATCTGTCTGCAGAAATGGATGCTTAAGAAAACACATGGTAACATTGCTCTTTGGGAAAGGAAAATTGGTATAAAATACATTTCATTAAATAAAGGATTTTCTTCCCATAGAGCTTAAGGGTTTATGAAGGTGAGGGAAATAGTAGCAGATTTGAAGTAGGGATTAGATTTGTTCTTTTTGGCCCCAGGGAGCAGTGGGAAATAGCAGAGGAGCAGATTTCGGTTCACTGAAGGGGAAAACTTCCTAATAATGATGGCTGT